AGAATAATATACTTACTACCCACAGCAACAAATACAACTGAACATGGATAACTTAGGTAAATCAGCGTTTTGGATTCACAAAGCAGGACTTCTTTGTCTTGGAGACACTCTTGTTGGCAATCAACTCATTCCTACCATCTCCCTCATAAACCTGCCATTACGCACTGTAGAGTATCTTATAACAGCTGACAATCCATTAAAGCAGTAAAAATCATTTATCCTTCTACATTGCGTGGCATTAAACAAACAGCAGAATAATATACTTACTCAACCCACAGTAACAAATACAATTGAACGTGGATAACTTAGGTAAATCAGCGTTTTGGATTCACAAAGCAGGACTTCTTCGTCTTGGAGACACTCTTGTTGGCAATCAACTCATTCCTACCATCTCCCTCATAGACCTGCCATTACGCACTGTAGAGTATCTTATAACAGCTGACAATCCATTAAAGCAGTAAAAATCATTTATCCTTCTACATTGCGTGGCATTAAACAAACAGCAGAATAATATACTTACTATCCACAGCAACAAATACAACTGAACATGGCTAACTTAGGTAAATCAGCGTCTTGGATTCACAAAGCAGGACTTCTTCGTCTTGGAGACACTCTTGTTAGCAATCAACTCATTCCTACCACCTCCATCATGGACCTGCCATTACGCACTGTAGAGTATCCTGCTTAATATTCGCATCACATTCTTTTGACGAACTGCTTTACTTAGAGTGTTACTTTCAAGCATGATATGAGTGAAAGTCTGAGCTTACATGTGTCCCCCTAAAAGTATCTATTGCAATAAGGTCCTGAAAACTTATAGTGAGCCATCGATCGAATGTCACCAAATCAAGCATTGAATGCAACGCGCGTTTTCTTATGGGAATATGTGAGATCTCGCGTTCTGTTTCATATTAACAATCTGAAAATCTCAGTTTCGTAAGGAGACTGTTTTTGAGCAGGACATTCTAAATCGCATAATGTCAAGCTACATAAGACATGGACGTTACATGAGAAATTGTTGAATTTCCATGAAAGGCTTCAATACAGCATTAAGCTGCTGTATTGAAGACGTGAAGTCTCTTATGTGAATCCAAAATACAGACTCACTTAAAGTGGATAACATTAAGTACGGTAACATCGATCCAGTAGAACGGTGCCCTAATACCAGGGTACCTGATTCCGAGACCCTACCCCTTGTAGAACCAAAAAAAGTTTTCGAATGGGGAGAAGTAAGTGAATGTTATCCTCGAACGAAGATGAAAAGGCTGAAAGTAAATTGAAATGAGAAAATTAATCTTGCATGGAGGTCATCTGCATAATGGTCTGTACCGTTTGTAGCAAATCACGAAGTTTCTCAGCTAAGTTGATACTGCGAAGGAAACTGAGAATTTTAGAAAAATCTTTAAACAGTTCTTGAATATACCGGGCTAATGAACCAGGATAAGAGTCCTTCCATGATTTTTGACGAACTTTGCAGGCTTACTTCTCAGCTTTTCATTGTAGCTGGCTCTTCTCGTAGTTCCGCTTCGCCGAGATTCGGTCGTTGTCAACTCAGGAAAGTTTTCTTGGGTGACATCTGGGGCTGGTTTCCTCTGGTTTCTGGGCTGTCCTCCTTTTTTTTTATATACCGCACAACCATGGAAACTGCTTACATGCTCCCCTTGGCTAAATAGACAGCATAGCTTTTCCTCCGGTTTCTTCAAACAGGTGTTACTCCTGTGCAGCCTTCCGCACTTCACGCATCTATCCTGGTTATTGCATAGGTGCTGCGTATGACCAAAGGCCTGGCACGGTAACCTGTGCACTTTGTTAAAATTTATTTCAGTATGGTTGCAATTTCCCGATTCCCGGGCTGGGCAAGATTGACTCATCCCTCTAGTGGGTTTACAAAATAAGTACCAAGTTTACTTGGGTGCTAAACACCGGGGATCCTGCGACAACCTGACCACTTGTCCAGGGTATATGTTATTGCAATCTGAGATTCACGGGTAAGAAAGTAGATATCACGACACTTCAGGCAATGACTCTCTGAGGGCTGTTTGCACCACTGAGTTTAGTTTGGTTATGCAACTTCCCAATTTTCACTGATATCCTAGATAATGGCAATTCTCTTCCGAAAGTATATATAATTTTCAGAGACTGCCTTAATAATTTTCAGAGACTGCCTTAGTAATTTTCAGAGTCTGCCTTAGTAATTTTCAGAGACTGCCTTAATAATTTTCAGAGACTGCCTTAATAATTTTTAGAGACAGTCTTAATAATTTTCAGAGACTGCCTTAATAATTTTCAGAGACTGCCTTATGAAGTGAAGGAAATGTTTGTGAAATAAAGTGATAATGAGCATGCATCTTATAAAAGTGAAGATTCTCTGAGCACAGACCGTGCTTCAGTTCTTAATATTTCTGAAGTCTTAATTAATTACTGTTAAAGATTCGGGTTAATAAAAGATTTTTCTGTATGTCAAACATTTCTCCTTACATATATTTTTCGAACAAAGACTCTAATCTCCCTAAAACGATTTCCGAGAGCAACTAATTTCTCTGTATCAGTATCATATTTACTGAAATATACTAATTATCCAGCTATTTTACTCTTCGAAACGCACTAAATCATTTATATTACTGATGAGGGATTGAATCTTCCATTTAAGTAAAATCATAATCAGTTCGTAAAAATACATCAGTAAAAAGCAGGAAACATAAAATTGGCATTTGTGAAAAAGGAGAATGGGGCGTTTTATCACTTGCTCAAAATTTATTATTATATCGAGACAAAACCCCAGGAAAACTAATTGCTTATAAAATACATCTCCGAGGAAAACAGACATTAATAAATGCTAGCATCCTTAAAACTTTGCAAGCACTGAACAAGTAGCACAAATCTTCTATTCCTGTCAGCTTTGTAATTTGTCAAAAGAGATAGTTGAGCTCTCTAGTAAATAAATACGAATAATGTTAAAAACCAAAAGCCAATTTTTGGCTGAAATGATGTTGGCCAATTGTTGGCTAAAAATACCAAATTCTGTTTTACCAAAATGGAAGTAAATTCATCAAGCTTTGTTTCATAAGTTACTAACTCTCAACGTATCCAACTTGCTCATGCAGCAGACATTTATGCGTCATTGGAAAAGTTTCCTGGATATACTATAAAGCTATCTTGTGTCATAGTTTAATGTAAACAACGGTGATAACATTATAAGGTCTGATTTCAATTTCCTAATCAGTTATTGTAAATTACTTTCCTAGCAAACCACGTTTCATTTCCCTGACAGAATATAAATTTGCAGCGCGCGATATTCAGATTAGGCAGAATGAAGGAAGTTTTTGGAGGGTGACATCAGAGCGTGTTCTGCCTGCTTGAAGGCCATGCTGCTAACGTTGGTTTACTTGATTAAAATTCTGCGGCGTTGAGTTATTTTTGCCATTAGGCTTGTTTAGGCTGACTTCGGTCAGAGCCAGCTTGTGCGCCTAGGCTTCGTTTAGACGGTGGTATAAATGTCATAGACACATAAAAGTGTTTCGTTCACACATGCGTTTAGACTGTGGTATAAATGTCATAGACACATAAAAGTGTTTCGTTCACACCTGCGAGACAGAGGCTAAGTCGTAGTTAGTTAGAGAAGCTAAATTTGCGCATGCGTGGATGTGCCTACAGCTTTCGTTAGCTCTCTGCTTTCTCTCTCAATGAGTTTCGAGTGTTCTCTCTGATTCGTCGACTCTTATACCAAGTCGACATAAAATTGAAAACTTCGAACTTTATGCCAAAATTCCTAAACCAGTTTTTGAAACGTAGCAAGGTATTGTTACGTAGCAACAAACCTCGGCTTAAACCAGTTATGACATTTATACCACCGTCTGAACGGGCCTTATGCCCATATCACACATGCATTTGTTTCACACGAATAGCTGTTTCGAACAATTTTTCTGCCTAGTTTACTATTGAAAGAAAGACACGTGATTGTTTTCCTTCCTTTCGAAAAAAACTGCAAGTTGTTCGTTTTCAACCAATCAGCTATCAGCTTGTTTGTAATGGAGGACCAGTTTACCCCGTTAGACCAGTTATGACATTTATCCCTCCGTCTGAACTTTAGGCCCATATCACACATGCCTTTGTTTCACACGAACAGCTGTTTCGAACAATTTACCTGCCTGGTTTACTACTGAAAGAAAGACACGTGATTTTTTCCCTTCATTTCGAAAAAAATTGCAAGTTGTTCGTTTTCAACCAATCAGCTATCAGCTTGTTTGTAATGGAGGACCAGTTTATCCCGTTAGACCAGTTTACTGGTTTAAGCCGAGGTTTGTTGCTAGATATTGTAACCTAGCAACAAACCTCGGCTTTTACCAGTTATGACATTTATACCACCATCTGAATCTTAGGCCCATATCACACATGCATTTGTCTCACACGAACAGCTGTTTCGTAAAATTTTTCTGCCTGGTTTACTACTGAAAGAAAGACAGATGACTTTTTTTCCTTCCTTTGGAAAAAAATTGCAAGTTGTTCTTTTTCAATCAGAGAACGTTTACGAGGATGCCTCAGAGAACACTTGAGATAAAATCATATGAGTGGCGCAAAGAACAGTTGAAAGCTATTGAGGACTATTTGCAAGATATTTCAGTCAAAATTTGCCACTAAGTTAGCAAATATTGAATGAGGGACTCTGGCAAAACATGTTATTTCGAACTGTTTAGGACCTGTTTGGATTAATAACAGTATGGCTTTGGTCCTATAGAGCTTCCTTTGTCTTAGTTTTATGTTATGTAGCATCTTTATACACAACAACGGTGCAACAGAAATATACTTATATCGCTAATGGTATCGTTACTCCTGTATTGCCCAACTGGGAAATCGTAATATGGGCTACAAAGAACTTATTGCGAACTTAGTAGCTTAGTTCGAAAACGTAACTTAGTGCTGTAATTAGAAACTCGACTGTTTCTAATGTCAATTATGTATCATCCTAAAGAAATAATATTTTTGGTTTCTTTCCTTTATAGGTTTGGAAGGTCAACCTCAAGAGAGCAAAGACCTCTACTGGTTCTAAGGAGCTGAACAGTGATATTTTTTCTTTCAAAAGACACAAGTATTACCACTCCAAGAATGGCAGAACAAATAGAAAGGAGATGGCTAGAATCTAGGTGCACAGTTTAATATTGTAAATTCTGTGAAAGCAAATTACGCAGCAGTATTAAAACGAATAGTTTTTTAATCGTAAAAGCAATAAAATAAAACGATTATACAGTATTAATTCAGCAGAGTTAATGTAAATAATTCATGTGGATATCAAATAATGCAACTTTGACAAAAAATACATTGAGTTTTTTTCCATTAAAAAAATATTCTATCTTTTTTTAATAATGTACAGTTTCAATTTAGTGAATGAAATGTTTTTTAATTTGATAAACAACCGATTAACAAGGTAGAGCTATATTTTCTGAATTTTTTGTCCTTCATGTTATGTTTATAGGGAAAGAAAGAAGAAATAGTAAGAAAAGTCAGCTAAAGAAATGTTGTTGTCATTTATAATTAAATAAACTATAAATTATCAACAAAAAAATGGAAATATTTTGCTTTCATAAAAACTAGGCGTAGAATGTTAAATAAATATTTTATAATAAATATACAATTATCAAATTAATTAATTATTAATAATTTTATAATAAATATATAATTATTAATATATTAAATAAATATAATATTAATATAAAAAAGAATGAAAGAAAAATCCAGCTTATTCATAAAATATGTTGAAATATTAAAAAAATATTAGAAAGAGAACACTGGTCAACTAGTATTAAAGAAAACTGCAATGAATTGTTAGAATGGATTTTAATTTGAGCACAAACACGTATCTAAATTAAAGCACATTTTTTATATTCAAAACTATGTGAAATATTAATTCTTCATAAGATATCCTAGCTAATTTCTGCCTATGAAATCTAAATTTCAAATTTAAAAATAGCAGAAATAACTTTAAATTTTGTCTAAAAATTCCTAAGAGTTTAAAATAAATTAAAACAACTAAAAGAAATAGTTCCACTTGTATTATTTATTCTCAGTTGCTTGACATGAATAACTTTACAATATAGAGTATTCCTAAAATTACTCAATAATTCAACAATTATTGTAATTATTGAAGCATGAATGTGACTATTTGTGCAATGAATTTGAATTTATCTTCATGTGTATATTTCTAACTAATAGTTTTCATCTGTTTATAAAATAATGTCTCAAATATATCTCTATTTTACTTCTTTTGTAAAAATCATTTATCTTTCTGCCAGAAAAAATTACTAGTTTAAAATAGGGCTAATGTTTGGAATATGGTAACAGGTAATTTGGCGACATTTTGGTAAGGCGATAAAGGTAAGGCTTTTTTGGTAAGGCTAGGACTTTAGCAATAATCTGAGAAGTACACAGTTCGAATCACAGATTATTTGTCTCAGAGAAATGAGAGATCAGATACATGTCAGTGACATTTTCCGGAATCCAATTGGGATTTAGCTAATAAGCACTTAAAAACAATTTCGCTGTAAAGTGCAAAATCGCCCACTTATTTTTGGCCGCTTTTTACAAGAGTAAGAAGAATTGGATTTTTGTCAATTTTCTTGACTTTTTCAGTGAAAAATAGGCGATGTGTAATGGATAAAGTCAAGAGTGTGCGCAATGCCAATTTTTGTGCAATTCTGGGATGGTTTTAATGAAAATAGGTCGACGTGTACATGGATGATACCGTGTATGTGCAATTCTGTAAAAAACGCTGCAAGCAGTGGGCGATTCTGCACTTTGTCCGAAATTCGCACCTAATCTTCGTCTTGATTAAGCACTTTTGTTCCATAAAAGTTCTAGCATAAGCGTAATTCGGCTAGCAGATTGCTTGAAAAAATTTTGTGTTAAAAAAAAAATGCCTTTACTTCGTAAAAACAAAATGGCGTCCAAAAAAAAAAAAAAAAACTAGCAGGTTGCTGTAGCAGGGTTGGTCGCCAAAGTTTCGCCAAAAATTCGCCAAGTTACCATATTTTGAAGATTCACCTAAAACAGCTTTCAGTGGCTTTTTCGTCTCTATATTAATAAACAAATTCTCATGTAATATTTTATTAGATTATGATTTGAATTTATGATGTCATACTATTGTAAATACGCTGTCCATTTGTGCAGAGAGTTACTTCAGCGTTTAGGTATTAATCACCGGTTTTAACGACAGATGGCGGTAAGAATGTTTAAGATCCCTAGAAAACTTGCATTTAGCGCTTCTGAATTTTTATCTATTAGGCTTAAAAATTTTAGTCGCATATATTGATGGAGTGGCAACATCGAATGAATCTATTTTTTCAAGTAAAAGAATGGCACTGAAGATAAACAGTGGAAATTCTTAATATGCTGAGCATGTTTACAGTCAACCTTATGTAATCTTAATATTTTTGAAACAGAATTCCAATTATTCGTATTAACTTCAACCACAGCCAGTTTCAATAATCAGAAAATCCAGATTATAGAGTTGTCTCTTTTTTTTTCTGTAAGCCAAATATGTATTTACACTAATTCAATATCTTAAAAATAACACGTAAAGTAAAATGTATAATTAGTTTTTATCAAGTAAGACTAAATGTTATTTTTTATTCACATAAAAAAATAAAAATATAAGTAAATTGCGTCTATTCACATAAAACAGTATTAAAAAGAAACCTTTTAAACACACAAAAGCATCTCTTTCAGATATGTGCAATTCCAAGATATTAGAAATGTATTTTAGTAATTGCAGTTATGTGTGTCAATTTAACTTCTTAAAGTACTAAGAAATCCATGCATAGCTTTTAAATCGCTCAGTTCATTAAGCACTTAGAAATTGATAAAATGCGAAAGATTAAGCAAAAATTTAACTTTATGCCAAGTGGCAACACTTTGATAACTAATTAGGCTCGAGAAGCATGAAAGATAAATTGAAACATTTTCTGTAATTAACTGTAATACTTGATAACCAAAGCAAATTGGTGATATGTCCATAGTAAGTCAAAGAAACGATCTAAAAACTTGAGAAAGACCTCTCTGCGGGTAATAATTTTTTGTATTACATTTAAATCAACAAAAAAAATTGAAACGTATAAAGAGTTAAAAAATATGATGTTGACACCACATGACTTCCTCGTATAGCCATTAAATTACACATATTTTTTTGATGTATTTCATTTAAACTTATTTCCTCGAATTTCATTAGATATATTTCTCATTCAATTAAGTTAGTTCGCGGCAAAGCAAAAACACATAACAACCCAAAACATCTTCATTAAAAATTGTAAAATACAGAAAAACATAAAACACTAAACCCAATTAATTTTTTTTATAATTAAAATTAGTTTGTATGCAAAAACAAGCAATTCGGCCAGCGGGCAAGAAAACAGATTTTTCGGTGCACGAAGCTGAAAGTTTACTTTTGATCCAATTCGACAAAAAGACATTGAAAGTGCAGAAACTCACTTAATTCACTATTCTACTGCCGGTTCGTTAGGCTTAAATCGCCACTTTTAAATTTTTAATAATTCTAAAACTATTGCATGCAGATTAACTAAAGGCATAAAAACCTTGACCGAAACTTAAAAGCCACATAAGTCAATAACGATTAAAAAAACTGCACAATTTACCAACATATAAGAATAGAAAAACTAAGTTCACTAAGCCTGGTAACAGAGTGGGGATATGTATTTATATGTGATTGGTGCAACCGATTGGAACGAAAAAGAGAGGTTCATAACTATATATTACATCAGTCCCATATACAAAATTTCAACATTAACATTCTACGGCTACTCGTTCTTGAGTTATGCGAGGTACATACATGCGTACGTCCGTACATGCGTACAGATGTCAAGCAAAAAAAATCTCTTCCGGATAGGGTTTAAATCCAATTTACAATTCTTTTTGGCAAAAACAGCCCTTTATTCTGCCCCTACATGACAAATGTCACGCAAAAACATCGTTCAAATGGTTTCGAGAGCGGTTGAAAATTATACATTCATTGAAATATGGTACTCGAAATTTTTCGAGATTACAATACTTCCCTTACTTCGTACAAAGAAGTAAAAAATGGTGTATTTTATTTTGCTAAAAAGAATAATAAAAAATGATTTCATAATTAGGCTATTATTCTACTATTCTGAAATAGAATTTTGTGATTACCTGATTGCCAGGAGTTGAATTTTGATGCATTTAATATGCTAAAAGGAAATTAAATATGCAAAGTATATAAGAATGTTGATGTAACATCTAATAAATAACTTATATCAAAAATTATATACCCACAAGAGTCTAGTTTCATGCTTTAAAATGTGTAGAAATTTATGACGTGGTGCCTAAAATTGTTATCTCTAGATAGTACCTGAACAACGTGCCAAAATTTAGGTGTTACTTATATAATCTCTGTGCCAATATGCAATCCCCATTAACAAAATTACTATGTGCCATCTCCAGTTAACTACATAGAAAATTCAACTGCAGAATTGAATTTGAAAAAATCTCTTGTCATTTTTGTGTGTGTTACTGTCGCAGACGCTTCAAAGTTAAGTTTTTTTTTTTTTTTTTTTTTTTTTTTAAAGTAAAATATTCTTCGAAATGAATTTTGTGAAGTTGATGTAAGTGGAGTGTAATTACTAGATTTTACTGCTACACGCAATACTGCTCACTTTAATTTCTGCTGAAGTAGAGCCGAATATATGCAATTGTAAAGTTATGTAAGATCCATTGACAATGATATCATTGTGAAAGCTATCGCAGTATGTGAAACACTATATGTTGTAATTGTGCCAAATTGTATATAAATCGTATGTTGCAAGTTCTTGAAACGTAAGGCTCATTTTTCAATAATATTTGATAAATTCAAGTTTGCATTTTTCTCAACATTTTCTGAATCAAAGGGATTCAAATGATCCGACTAACCTTTGAAATTATCTCCCAAAGGGAAGATAATTTCAAAGGTTATCAGAGCTATATTACCCACTTTATACTAAATTCTTCTCTGAAAATTAAAAGTAGCGCAGGACAACTAAAGTGATAAATTAATTAAACTAAGTGATTTAGATCTTGGAGCAATCGCACTATATTTTTAGTCCAAAGGGATTTCAGTCCCGAAGGACTATTGCTTTCGTTTGGCTTGGCGGACCATAAACGTCGGTTCACTTTTCAAACTGTTGCAACAAAATGTTAGAGTCTGCATTATATTTGAAAGAAATTAAATAATGAAAAATCTGCATAAATGATTGTCTATTTCTCGCATTGTGATAAAACCATGGTACTAGAGCCATCGATTTTGAATGACGAAATCCTACTGCGAATATGGGCCGAATCCCAAATTTGGAATTTGTTTTTATAGATTTTATTTGTAAAACTTAACGAATATTTGATTTACAACTCAAGCTTTAAAGCGAGAAATGGCAACTTATATAGAAAAAAAAACTTTATCTCCAGCCGCGAGACTGTGATATCGGAATTCTAAAGATTGCTTAATTAACATTATTGCGATATTGCTCTGAACGAATTTTATGGTTTAAGTGCAAAGAACATGATATTTAATAATAAAGGTAACACTCAAACGTTAAAAAACGCCCCTTTGGACGTAATTTAAAATCTGAAAATTTCAGATTTTTTTTTATTTTTATTTAACGAATATTTTGTTAGAAGCCAATGAAAAATTTCAAATTTTAAGCAAAATTTTTAAGCGCAGGGTACTTTTAAATGATATTAATTTTTAAATTTATTGAAATTGGAGCAATTGCGTTATTTTTGATAACGAATACTTCTAATAGAAACCAATGAAATTTATATTTCACAAATTTTTAAGTTACATTTTTTAAGCGACTATAAAGTGATGTTAGGTTTGATCTATTGAAACTGGAGCAATCACATTATTTTTTTAACAATATTTCAATACCGAAATTTCAATTAATTTTAAATGACTTTTTTTTAGCACAGAGACAACATTTAAGACTTAGTGATTTAGATCTACTGAAACGGGAGTAATAGTATTATATTTTAACGTATTCTGTTATCCAATTAAGGAGTTCACAATTTTAAGCGACTATAAAGTGATGTTAGTGATTTAGATCTATTGAAACTGGAGCAATCACATTATTTTTTTAACAAATACTTCAATTACGAAAATTTCAAAAATTTTTAAGTTACTTTTTTAGCACAGAGACAACATTTAAGCGATATTAGTGATTTAGATCTATTGAAACGGCAGTAATAGTATTATTTTTTAACGTAAATTTCTGTTATAAACCAGTGAAATTAACATTTCACAAATTTTTAAGTTATTTTTTTTTTTAAGCACAAGGGGACTATAAAGTGATGCTTGTGATTTAGATCTATTTAAATTGGAGCAATCGCATTATTTTTGTTAATGAACGCTTCTGCTATAAGCCAACGAAATCAATATTTCAAAATTTTTTAAGTTAAATTTATTTAAGCACTGTGCAACTTTAAAGTCCTGTTGGTGTTTCAAAAATTTTAACTTAGTTTTTTTAAAGCACAGAGACAATATTAAAATGAGACTAGAGATTTAGATGTATTGAAATTGGAACTCCAGTATTGTTTTTTTAGCGAATACTTCTGTTAGAAGCCAATGAAATTAACATTTAAAAAATTCTTGAGTTTTTTTTTAAGTATAGGGCAACTATAAAGTGATGTTAGTGATTTAGATATATTGAAATTGGAGCAATCGCATTATTTGTTTTTAACGAGTACTTCTGTTATAAGCTAATGAAATTAATATTTCAAAAATTTATTAACTTCATTTTTTTTAAACACAGAGACAACGTTAAGGTGACATTAGTGATTTAGAGCTATTGAAATTTTAGCAATCGTATTATTTTTTTTAACGAATGCTTCTGTTAGAAGCCAATAAAATAACATTTCAAAACTTTTTCATTTTTTTTAAGCATACGGCAACTATAAAGTGATGTTAGTGATTTAGATATATCGAACGCGATAGGGCAACCCTAAAGTGATGTTAGTGATTTAGATCAACATTTCAAAAATTTTAAGTTATTAAACACTAGGAATTTATAGCTCTGAATAAGGAAAAAAGCGCTAAGAATTTAAATTCTGAGTGTCAAATATTTCACAAGATTCGTGAGATATTCCAGATTTCCAATGTCCAATTTCTAATAATAACTATCTTAGTACAAAAATGAATGAATTCATTTAAAAATTTACCAAAGGAACATTCTTGAGAATCCTAAAATTATAAGCGATACGCCTCGCTTATTAACATAGCTCTTTAATTTTCGTAATTATCAGAGATATATCTTTCCTGAACTTATCTAATATAAATTTATTTTCTACTTGTAGTTCATGTGCTTGAATAAGTATAAGCTAATTTATGCATTGTGCAGAGAAATTACTACCTATGGATGAGGTACCTCTAGTGAACATATTTAATGTGTAATTTATGTTCAGCTTGTAATTAGTTATTACTTGTATAGTCAAAAGTCAAGCTTTGCTTTAGGTAGAGAAATTATTGTCAATGGATTTAAAAAATCCGACGCTTCTTCACAGTTTCTGTGTATGTTTTCAAGAATATAATCTTAAGATTTTTGTGGTCTTGATTATTATGTGTTTGTAAATCTACACGAGAATGATTGTATAAAATGAATAAAATTTATGTGATAACTAAATGGGTTTTTTTAATTGTGTGTTTGTTCTTACTTGTCACATTAGTATACAATATATAAAAGAATCGCATGCTTTGGAACTAAGAGGAGAGTTTTAAAAGGTAACACTTTTGTTACCTTCTAAAACTACAGCGTACTCTCGATTCTCCGGCCTAATACCGGCAAAGTCCGTCAAGGGTAACTAAAAATCTGATGTGTGCACCACATTTCTTCCTTGTACGGAATATTAAGTTAAACCCATTTTTTCTTGCATTTCATTTAAATTTATTGGATTGAATTAAATCTACTTCGTCGATAGCAAATAAACCACAATAGAATAAAAGCACTCTTTAAAATTCATTATATTTGTTTAACATAGCGAAACTCTGGCGCTAGGTTCCCTTAATAGCGCTATATTTCGGCCATATTATAACTCAGAATGCACAAAATTTATATCATTTGAATACGGTGCCACATGTTCTACCAAATTATAATAATCTAAAACGATGTACAAAAAAAAAAGGAACAATTTTCACAGGACGATTCAGTATTCTCATTCAATTTTCAGTTCTCATTTCGCGACAAAAGAAAAGTACCTTAAAATTCAGATTTCTGTATTGAAAATTAGGAAGTAAATCTAAACATTATTTCTCGAATAAATTCCAGAATGGATTAAGCAAGTTTAATCGAATAATAAAATAAGGCGTTATCTTTGTGTATTGCGAAGCTATTTCCCTAATGGAAAAAACTACACTTCTGTGTTTAAAAAAAAAGCAAGGCCGCCATGGCAAAATTATTAGCTTAGCGGCACTAACAACTTTTAAAGTTGATAATCTAAAAATATTGCATACGTTACTAAGGCTAAAAAGCTTAACCGGAAATAAGAACAACATAATTCAATCATTTAAGCAAAAAATGCACAATTACAAAACATATAAAAATAAAGAAACTGAGATCACTAAGCCGAGTACAGAGTGGATATATATACATATTTTATATTTTGGTGCGGGTGGCAACCACAATACGAGATTGTACACTACATGTTAAGCCTCTATATACACATTTACGTTTGACTACCGTTTTTCCACTTATGCGAAAGAGCTACGTACGTACGTACGTACAGCCCACGTAAATTCTTCAGACTCATTTAAAATAGTTTTAAAAGATTTTTAAAATTCATTTTAAAAGGTAATTTATCCTGTCCTTACGTACAGCTGTCACGCAAAAAAAAAACATCGTTGAATGCATTCGATAGCGTGAAAAATGATATTGCGTGAAATATGCTGCTGAATTTTCGCGATTACAATACTTCCTTTTTACTTCGTACAAGGAACTAAAAAACGCAGATAACCCAAATTATTAATTTTCATACATATTGTATGCGTTTTTTCCCTCAAACAAAATCTGCAATTTAACTTTGAGAGCGTTTTCATACTTGTCGAACTTCACGGCTTATTTATAGCCAAAAAGGTACGTAAGACACGAAGTTCTGACAGCGGGAATACAGCATGAACTGTGCGTGCTAATGTCGGCATACAGCGAAAGGTGGAGTTAGGTAATAATATTCAGCCCTTGATTAGATAGCTAACTTGTTGCAATCGTTTGCGAGGTTTCCAACCAAAGATATACATTTGAGTGTTTGCCATCAAAGTCTGAGCTCGAATGAACACTCGAACGCCAAGTTTTCTGTTTTATTCGTTTTGTGCACTCTGTGTGAGTTTGTCACTGAACTGTGCAACTTTTGGTCTCGTTCAATCGCTCTGCTAACACTGTTGTAAGTTTCAGGTTGGAATTTTAATATTCCTCTTTTCAGCCTCGCAGAGTAGAATGCGACCCTGGTAATTATTGCTCATCTGGATGAATACTATCATCCCTCTTAATTGGTAAAAACAATTTAGAATCACCCTGTATATGTTACCGGTGAAGGTGTTAATTTGCACATTACCTAGCTAATCTGACTGAATAACTGAATTGCTCCGTTAAAGTGCGGTATCAAGAGTTTTCCGCATTTTAACTAGGGTAATGTACACATTAACGACTTCCGTATCATTTAAGTTCAAATGTATGTTTCTCTCATTTTCTCCGCTTTGCATATTATCAACTAGATACTAGCTAATCTGCTCACTGCCTACTAGGCATTCTTTAAACTGAAAATACGATCTTTACTGGAACAACAACAGGAACGTTTTTGTACGCTTAAATTAACGTGTTATTTTTTTATTTTCGGATATCTAAAAAAATCAAGTCAATGCAATCAAACAATCAGCAAATTAGTTGATAGAATCAATCATCTGTTAATTAGAAAACTATAATACAAAGAACAAAACGGCTTAAAATATTATTACAATTAAGAAAATGAATTTGCAAAAACTTATTAGTGAAATCTATAACTCTTAAGTGATCATTTAAATAAATAATTATACTCACTTATTAGGGAAATCTAAGATAATTAAATAAATAATATTATACTCACTTATTAGTGAAATCTAAAGATAATTAAATAAATAATTATACTCACTTATTAGGGAAATCTAAAGATAATTAATAAATAATTATACTCACTTATTAGTGAAATCTAAAGATATTAAATAAATAATTATACTCCTTATAGTGAATCTAAGATAATTAAATAAATAATTATACTCCTTATTAGTGAAATCTAAGATAATTAATAAATAATTATACTCACTTATTATTGAAATCTAAAGAGAATAAATAAATAATTATAATCACTTATTAGTGAAATCTATAGACTGGTGACACTTTGAATTGTATAGCAAATGGATTTTGCGACAAGCACACTTATTTGTATTACAATTAGATTTCTAGTAACCCTACTCGATCTCTACTAGATCAAAAATTTAAAAGTGTAAGTAAAACCCTGCTCAATCAAAAGTCTAAAAGTGGCGGCTGTACAGAACGTTGCTGTTGTTCCAGCAAAAATCTTATTTTCACTTTACTGAGTGCCTAGTAAGTAATGTTCAGATTACTTCGGTAATTTGCAGATTATGTAATTTGCAGGGCTTAATTTTAAAAATTACAAGTGCCTGAGCCTATGTAAGACCGCCAAGAAAGAGGAACAAGAGTAAATAAATAAACAAAATGGCTATTACATTAATAATAAAAAAAATTAAATAGTAAATATTACCAGATTAATTTAATTATTAGTTAAAATTAATTAATATTGTTTCTTAAATTCTTATCGATTATTAAATTTATTGTTAATTAATATTATTGATCTAATATATTTATCATTAATTAATTATTATTGTTCAATTAATTATATATTTAATGTTCTTTAAAATAATTTAATAAAATTATTGAAATTAAAATTAAATAAAATGTACAGAGATAAATTAAAATTTAATGTGTGATTTTTAACATAATTTTATTGCAAAAAAAATAAAATTTTCGAGATCAGATTTCTACTGAAATTGTTGAGAAATAAGAAAGGAATTTGAGAAATGAAGCAATTTTCCACACTTTAACGGATCACCCTACTTAATCCGCAGAATAACTGATTTCTACAATTTAGAGGTAACATATATATGAACATGACACCATGCTTAGAACGCAAAAAAATTAATGCAAGAAATTATGAATGAAATAATGCAGGAAAATTTCCTTAGACACTAATAATTGACAGATAAATTTCATTAAAGCTGCAAAACCGTGTCAAATGTATAATCTAAAGAACATTTTGCATTTGAAAATTTATCTTCTGAGACGGAAGAAGTTTACTTGGATTGCAACGAACTGATCTCCATGTCCTAAATGAAACAAGAGAACCCTTTACAAGCAACAAAATCAAAAACGGAAATTTTCACATTTTGTCCATGCCGAACTAATTGCCTTCCAAAAATAACAAAACAAAAATGAAATAAAAGTGTGAGAAAAGTCGTAGTTCGTCTAAATGTACAAAGCGAAGACATTTTCCAAGTCAAAGAGACAAGCAGCATTGCTTTGATGGATGAGCGAGCACCCGTGATTGGTAAACGACATGTTGTGACGTCATCTGATGAGACGTAGCACCGGAAGTTGCCAGCGTCTAAAGCGGAGAACTAATCAGCCCATATTTTCCCACTTTCCTTGTAGCGTATCCCCGCGGCCATAAGTTTACTCATTAATCATGAAAGTTAGACACTGTAGCAGCAAAAATCTGTGCAGCTGAATTGCTTTGAGAAATCTTTTTAAAAGAGAAGAGGTTTTGCTTACGGAGATTATTTCGACCCTATCCGTTTCAGCTATGGTTTTATTTGTTGCCAAAATGGGATACAAATGTTGGATAATATTTTTTTATATATTTTTATTCTCTAACAGTAACGACATTGAGGCCGGAGGTCGAGTTTTAATTACGCAGCTTCAAACTTGATAATAAAAAATTCTAAATGCCAATGGTATTCCTCTCGTAATAACATTTCAGAATTAAAGCAAAAAGAAGAAAATTTGAAATTTAGCGCTCCATTTATATTTGCAGTTGAATAAAAATAGTGGAGTGTTTTTTCGAGAAGTTTTCTTTTTATAATTTGATTCGATTTGATCGCATAAAATTTCGATCAATCTGAGTCCATAGATTGCTTTATTTAAATTATACACAATTTCGAATTTAAAAAAAAAAAAATGTCTGAAAACTTTCAGATTTTATATTTCTTCCAAAGGCGCCTTTTTTTCCTTCACATACACATACATGTTTAGAGAGCATTTGGGGTAATGTTCCTTTAGACCAAAAATATTTAAAAACAGCCTACCTTTAAAATTTCCGATAAACAGTCTCAGACGCTGGAGATTAAAATACTTTTTTCCATACAGTGTTGCCATTGCTCGCTTTAAAATAGTTGAATTTGTTAATCAAAAATGCGTTTTAATTTTAAATATACAATAAAATATTTATAATCAGTATATCTTTAGAATATCCAATGGACAGTCTCGAGCGCTAGCGATAAAAATGTTTTTTCCGTATATTTTTGCCATTTCTCACTTTGAAATTAAGGAGTTTGTTAATTAAAAACTCGTTAAAGTTTTAC